TTTAGTCCCGCCACCACTTCAAAAACAAATCAAAACATGCTTTTAAAAACTGTACGGGCATTACCATAAATTTACTTACCTCACTCGCATAAAACCGAAGACTCAATCTCAGTGCTAAAGTGACAGAACGATCAAGAACCTAATCAAAATATCCAAGAATTAATTACCGTATCACGGATTCAAAAGTAAAATCATCATTAGAACTACCCCTAATCACAATGCTATTTCTATCAGCCTCCACATGACTGGACATCTCCAAATTTATTCTTATATTACAAACTAATCATTTAAATCCCTGTTAATTTTTGGCTATTGGTATATAAATAGTACTCGTGAACAGTGCCATGAACAGTAACTACACTTCCAAAATTGGCTAAAACACTAGCTAATTCACGGGATTTTCTCTCCAAAAATCACAGCAGTCAATTAACACTCAATTATATAAATCCCACTTGAATTAATGCTTAAATTTGTCCTAAAGCTACCGGAATTCATCCCCATTTTCTACAGATTTTCGGACACCACAAGGCAGCAAATTAACAGTAATTAGACTTAAATAAAGCTGTCACATACCAAGAAATCCAACCAACAAGGCCGGAGCTGCAATTTGGGGGAAGGCCGACGGCATGGAAGAAGAAATTCTGCAGGGAACTCATGGGTTTTACCCAAAATTCAAGAAACCAAGAGCAATTAAGGTAAACCCAAATTAAATCAAGGCTAAAAGGATGGATTAATGGCTGTTCTTACCGAAAAAATGCCCAGAAATCACCCACAATCAAGAGCAGCTGACGTGAGGAAGGAAGGAGCAGAGCAGATCCGGAATTTCCAGCAGGGGGAGAAGGTTTCAAGGCTCCAATCTTGTTCTTGAACAAGAAAAGAAGGCCAAAACCAAGCTTTGTGACCAATTTTTTTCAAGAAATGAGTTGGTGGCTTGGTTCCCCTTTTTTCTTTTTTTTTTTCTCTTTCGGGTGGGCTGCAACGGGGAAGAAGATAAGCAGAATTGGGCTGAAGAAAAAGAGAAAAAGGGGAAAAAAATCAGCCATCCTTATCCAAATTTTCCTCTTTAAGTCCCTCAAGTTTGGAAATTTCACTATTAAGCCCCAAAACAATCTTTTCTCTCACAAAAACCTTTATTTAAATGCTAAAATATCACAAAATTTTGGGATATCACATCCACCCCTATTAAAAAGGAGTTTTTCCCCAAAACTCAAATTGAGGATCATTTTAAGTGGTGAATGGCTTCACACAATTTCGAGACAAAATAATTGCCTCACAAACTCTTATAAACAGAACATGCCCTATTACGTTTCTGCTGTGCCACACTAATATCAAACCATAACTAATCTTAAAAAGCAAAACATTAACTACTTAACAGGATTTACCATGAACCAAGCTACTAGAGGTTGGGGTGATATGAGAAGCACAAGGAATAGAAATAAATCCTGCCAAAGCCACAAAAGAACAATTGTGGGGTTACGCTACGAACCCAACACAAGACGAGTTAGCAAAGAATGGCATGAATTTAAAGACGAGTACAACAAAACTTTGAACTCTATCAAAGACGGATAAGCATCCAATAGATGTACGAATCATGAATGAATAAACAAGTGCATGGATGCCTTACAAATTCTGCCACAAAACAAGGTTAACCAGAACCAAGATCATGTTTAACAAAGTAACTAGAATCAAGAGACAAATTTTAGCAATTAACAAGAGTTAAAAGCTAGACCCATCAAATGACATATGAAATTTCCAAAATAGCATCAAAATGAAATCAGTAGAAAATATGAATGCTTGGAAGGATACTAAAACATAAGAGTGCAAGGTAGAATGCCTTAAAAAAATTCAGCAACAAAACGGCATTCACCAAGAATCAAGATCAAATTTAACCAAGCAGTCAAAATTGAGAGACAAGAGTTAACCATGAAACAAGCAATAGAATTCAAAGATTAGGCCCACAAAAGGGATTTCAATAATGACAACCAGAACACAGATTCAAGAGTAGATATAACCAGGATGTCAAGATCTAACACCCCAAGTAACACGAATTAATTAACAGAACAAAGCAATGGCTGGGATCAAGATGCTTAGAAGATTACTGTCCTCTAATTAAAAGGCAAACAGAAATCAAAACAGCCAGATAAAAGAGCCATTTCTCTTGGAACAAAACTCTAGGGTATCAGGTACTTCAAAGACTACCCCTTCACCTCGTAGCCCATGGAGGCTAAGCAGATTTACAATCAAGTCATCTTAGACATCTTAGAGTCAAGTCAAAGCTAGGACATCAAGAATACAAAGATTAACACTTGCAAGAGACAAGAATTAGGATGCCTTATATAGGTATTTTCTAATAATCATCACCCCTCCTAAAGAGGTGGCTATATGAACAAAAATCAAAATCAAGAAGATCAACAGGTATACTGAAACAAGAACTAGTAGAATATGCAGGATTTGAGCAAGAGCAGTATACAGAATTTGAGCAAGAACCAGTGTCAGAACAAGAACGTTTTCAAGGACAACTCAAACTAGATTCCAAAAACCAAATATCAACTGATTTTCAAGAATAGATTCCAAGAACAATATCAATCGATTTTCAAGAGTAGAATTCCAACAAGATCTAATTTCAAGCAAGGTTTATGAACCAATTCCAAGCACAATGCCAGAAACAGTTTCAAGAAATAGTTTTAGACAAGTATCAAGATAATGAGGATTTCAATAATCATTATCCATTTTTGGATTTTAGTTTCAAGAACAAGTACAAAGCAATCTCAAGAAAGACTTAAGATGGATTTCAAGAGTTTCAAGCAATTTCAGGTATCAAGAATGTAGAGATTGGCAACAATAGAGAGTTTAACTTTATGATAGCTTGCCAATCTTTACAAAAACACGGTAATTTCAATTGAATTGATCATTGTTTTTTATTAACCAATATAGAAAAATGAGCCACATGAAAAGACCATGAAGCTCCAAATGGAAAAAGTGAAATTTCACTATAAGACTTCCAAAAGATAAGGAGCAACGGAATTACCAAGTTATCCAGCTCCTAAAACGCATCTAGAAAACACACAACATTTGCTAAATGGCCTTGAATCTCTTACAAAGTAGGGGGTTGCCCATCTTCCACTGGTCATGTGACAAACAGAGCAAATTTCTCAACTAGCTATGTGGTAGAGACCAATAGGATCAATGACAAAAGATCTCTGCAACTCCCCAGATTTTACAATTGTGGCAAAAGAGCATACAAAAATTCTATTCGGGTAACAAATCTAAACAAGTGCAGACTATCAAAAAATGACCAAGTTTTAAAACAAAGTCTTAAGAACATGGCGGACAAGATTAATTTCATGAATCTACACAAGGTATGAAGGCAGGAAACAAGAACAATCCGATCACCATCTCATCAAAATGGATTAGAAAATTCAGGCAACATGAATTAGAATCGTCCCTTATATAACCCCATCACTCATCTTACCACGGTTCTAAATCCATTGGCCAGCCAAGTTCTAAACAAATCCTAGGTATTCAATTAAACCTAGGTATTTAATTAAACTTAAGCTCCGATACCACTCAATCTGCTCTAATGCCATTCAATCTGGAGGTGCTTAATTTAATCCTGCGCTCTTAATTTAAACCTAAGCTCTGATACCACTAAATTTGTCACGCCCCAAAACCTGAATCCGAGGCGCGACAAACGCTGTGCACTCGCGAGAGGGTCCCACAAATGCACAAGGCTCGAAACTTATCA